ACGTATATACCCTCACGAAAATCAGAGCAACGTCAATCTAACCTACTTCACAGTGATAATACTAATAATAAATTAATTACAAAAGGATGAACGTGTCGCGAAATCGAGATACGAGTACACTCACAAAATGACACACCAGCGAATCGCATTACGCGTAGTAAGTGTAAGACAGCGTTTAGTTTGCAAAAATACTTATGAAGCAGGAGACTTACGTGGATCGTTAAATGGTACACAAGACGAAGCGACAAACTGTCCGACGTAAACCCCGCGGTTCTTCGATCGAACAGAAAAAGGATTGTCTTTTATCGGTGTGAATATTGAATGAAACGACCGAGAAACTCGTGTGGGCGCATCAAAACCGAGTCGCTTTACGATGCATATAAATACGGAAGACCTTGAAAAAGCACTAGCAAGTGAAACGTAGAGCGAGTGTCGCGTGGGACACAAATGTCATTACCGTGGAATTATGAGTCACTGATCGGCCGAGACGGTAAAGTAGAAAAAAGAAAACCGAGAAATCTGCTCTTGTGGATTCCGCGTTCCGACTACGACAGGAATCAAGCTCAGAACCATTCGTTCGATCAATCGTAGTACGATCCCAAACCGTACCGCTGTACACGCGATCGATTTACATTCAGTGTGTTTCCCGTGCAACAATTTCGACTGAAAGACCCGCGCCTGTTTACCAGTTGCAAAATGGCAGATACAAATATAGCGTGTGTCTCTCTCTACGTTCAATCACGGTGCTACGGCGCAGTTAAGGTGGCGTTCGAGAGCTAACCGGTTACACTTATATCGGACATGGTGGATTCGATCAAGTGTCGTTTTAGAAATTAGCTTTCTGTTGCCTCAGTGTCTTACATACACGTCTTGTATCGTGGGTGATAACAACGGATTCTAATCACTTTTAATATTTTTTATTTCCTCGTTCTTGTCACAGGGAACAAAATAAATCTGCGCCGCTGACGAGCTGCTATACGATCTGCATTCAAACCGAGATCTATGTGTTTGCTGTCTAGATAACAGATTTTACAAGCTTGTCTCGATGTTTACGATTCTCTGTAATTTATAATAAATGCAAAACGTTTAAAAAAATTGTATCTTCATTTCTTTCACGATCCCAGAAAATTCATTAAATCCTGCCATAACGATATTCTCATCGTAAAATGCAGACAACGATCGCACAATAAAATTTTTATAAGTGGCTTTCTTGATACTTTTTCGTGTCGTTTCATGTTTATTGAACCCTTACGAAATACATCAATAAATCCTTGTGGAATTAGTACAAGAAAATCATATTTAACGATAAGTTATCACCAGATATCACGTTTTAATAATTACCGATCAAAAATACTTGACCGCCGATGGGTCCAGTGTTGTGATTAACAGAGAAATTACGAAACGCGGGTAATGCCTAATAAAATTGTTCACAAGTACTTATTTTTGGAAGAGATCATCAATTTTTAACGCGCAAAATGCATTGTAACACTTGCCAGGTGCCAGAATGTGCAACGTAAATTATTAAATCATACCTTCATAACGATAAGTTAGGCTTCTAAGAGTGAGAAAAAGATCACGCAAGTGTGACAGCGGCCTTTAAGATTGAACGTTTTCCTTATCTATGTTAATAATGAGTAAGACAAGGACAGTGCGAGTGTGCGACAAGGATACAGATAGCGAGCGGTGGCGCCATCTAGTGGGGTGGAATTTGGAAAGTTTCTCCCTATACCCGTAATGTGTAAGACAAGGACAGAGATAGTGCGCGACAAGGACAGAGCTAGCATTCCTCAAGCCACCTACTTCGAAAAAGCATCTCATCAGTCCCTGGTACGTACGCGCGAAGCATGA